TGATAAAAAATTGTTCCTTTAATCGTTTTGAGCAGTGAATTTACGTTTTGGTTGTAACATGACAAAATGCGGAAAATTTCAAGGGGAATGAATACTTTTTAAAGGCACTGTATACGAACTGCTGCTACATACCAACAGTTTTAGATGTGTGTCATTTTTTGCACACTCCATTTTGGATCTTCAGTGAATTTTTTTGGCACTATGAACTTTGATTTTCGGACAATTCTCTGTAAACCCTAGAGATGGTTGTGTGAAAATCCCAGTAGATCAGCAGTTTTTGAAATACTCAGACCAGCCTGTCTGGCACCAATAACCGTGCCACATTCAAAGTCACTTACATTCAAAGTCACTTAAATACCCTTTCTTTCCCATGCTGATGCTTGGTTTGAACTACAGCAAGTCGTCTTCACCATGTCTACATGCCTAAATGCTGAGTTATTGCCATATGATTGGTTGATTAGCAATTTGTGTTACCAAGCAATTGAAGAGGTGTACCTAATAAATTGGCTGGTGAGTGTATATTTCTGACAACCAAAGCCCTTTGTACGTGTATTAGACTACTAATATTGCTTTAATGAATATGTAAACTCTCACTTTGTAAAAACAACCCATTCTGAAAGGCAAAACATATATGTATACATATAAAAAAAACATACCTTTTTCCCCTTTTTTATAGCTGATCACATACCCTCTGTTCTCAGCTGCATAAGGAGCTGGGCAGGAGAAGCAGCACACTGATCCTTCCGGGGAATGGCTGTGCAGAGTGTATGTGTCAGGACAAGTCTCATAATTGGAAGAGAGCACACTGAGTTCCTAAGACAGCTAGAAAACGGCTGTGCTCTCATGGCTAGCATGGTCAGTTTTTAATAGGAAAGCAAAGGGACTGGCAGAAACACCAGGGATTTCACACATGGGAAGGAATACAAAGAAAAGAGGATACTTTATCATACAAGTACTTGATACAGCAGGCACATACACTATATTGTACACAAAAGTATTGGGATGCCTGCGTTTACACGCACATGAACTTTTATGGCGTCTCAGTCTTTGTCCATAGGGTTCAGTTTTGAATTGGCCCACCCTTTGCAGCTATAACAGCTTCAACTCTTTTGGGAAGGCTGTCCACAAGGTTTAGGAGTGTGTCCATCCATTCTTCCAGAAGCGCATTTGTGAGGTCAGGCACTGCTGTTGGACAAGAAGGCCTGACTCGCAGTCTCTGCTAGAATTCATCCCAAAGGTTTTCTATTGAGTTGAGGTCAGGACTCTGCAGGCCACTCAAGTTCCTCCACCCCAAACTCGCTCATCCTCATGTCTTTATGGACCTTGCTTTGTGCACTGGTGTGCAGTCATGTTGAAACAGGAAGGGACCATCCCCAAACTATTTGCACAAAGTTGGGAGCATGAAATTGTCCAAGATGTCTTTGTATGCTGACGTCTTAAGAGTTCCCTTCACTGGAACTAAGTGGCCCACCTCGACCCCTGAAAAACCCCACATCATAATCCCTTCTCTACGAAACTTGGCACAATGCAGTCAGGCAAGTACCGTTCTCCTGGCAACCGCCAAACCCAGACACGTCCGTCAGATTGCCAGACAGAGAAGCATGATTTGTCAATCCAGAGAACATATTTCCACTGCTCTAGAGTCCAGTGGTGGCGTGCTTTACACCACTGCATCCAATGCTTTGCATTGCACTTGGTGACGTAAGGTTTGGATGCAGTTGCTAGGCCATGGAAACCCATTCCATGAAGCTCTCTATGCAATATTGTGCTAATCTGAAGGCAACACGAAGTTTGGAGGTCTTTAGCTATTAACTCTGCAGACAGTTGGCGACTTCTGCTCACTGTGCGCTTCAGCATGCCCTGACCCCGCTCTGTCATCTTATGTAACCTACCACTTCGTGGCTGAGTTTCTGTTGTTCCCAGTTGCTTTCACTTGGTTATACCACCAACAGTTGACCGTAAAATATTTAGTAGCAAGGAAATGTCACGAATGGACTTATTGCACAGGTGGCAACCTATCACGGTACCACGCTTGAATTCACGGAACTCCTGAGAGTGACCCATTCTTTTCCAAATGTTTGTAGAAGCAGTCTGCATGCTTAGATACTTGATTTTATACACCTGTGCCCATGGAGGTGATTGCAACACTTGAATCCAATGATTTGGAGCGGTGTCCCAATTTTTTTGGCAATATAGTGTATCAGGAATATGAAATGTTGGGTTGACACATTCTTTAAGGTTGCAACAATTATAATGGCTGTTCATTAAAAACTTATTAAGAAAAAAAAAAAAAAAAACCCTGCAGATGCCTCCCCGTCTGCTACTGAGCTTCAATGATTTAGAAACCTGTGATGTCAGACCGATGGAGATTTGGGCAATTATTGGATGATGCCCAGAGAACAAGTTTAAATTTGGAATGAGACAATATACAGTGGGGTAAATAAGTATTTGATTCCCTGCAGACATTGCAAGTTTGCCCACTTACAAAGAAATGAAGGGTCTATAATTCGTATCATAGGTGTATTTTAAGTGATAGAGAAAGAAAATCAATCAAAAATACAAATTGCTATAAATTGAGTTGCTGTTCAGTGAGTAAAATAAGTATTTGATCCCCTACCAACCAAGAATAATTCTATCTCCCACAGACTGGCTATTTGCTCACGTGGTACACAGATTTAATTTAGGAAGGTGCTCCTAATGACTTGTTATGTGTATAAAAGACACCTATCCACAGAATCTCTTTCTTGGGCACCACCATGGGCAAGACCAAAGAGCTGTCAAAGGACATCAGGGACAAGTTTGTAGACCTGCACAAGGCTGGAATGGGCTACAAGACCATCATCAAGAAGCTTGGTGCAAAGGAGACAACACTTGGAGTGATTATTTGCAAATGGAAGAAATACAAAATAACCATCAATCGTCCTTGGTCTGAAGCTCCATGCAAGATTTTGCTTCATGGCATAAGGATTATTATGAGAAAAGTGAGGGATAAGCCCAGAGCTACACAGGAGGAGCTTGTGAATGATCTCAAGGCAGTTGGGACCACAGTCACCACAAACACAATACACCACCATGGATTGAAATCCTGCAGCACCCGCAAGGTCCTCCTCTTCAAGAAAACATATGTACAGGAACGTCTGAAGTTTGCCAATGAACATCTAAATGATTCACAGGATTGGGAGAAAGTGCGGTGGTCAGATGAGACCAAAATTGAGCTCTTTAGCATTAACTCGTCTCCGCGTGTTTGAAGGAAGAAAAATGCTGACTAAAACCCTAAGAACACCTTCCCTACAGTCAAGCATGGCGCTGGAAAAATTATGCTTTGGGGCTGTTTCTCTGCTAAAGGTACAGGCTGACTTTGTCGCATTGAGGGGCCAATGGACAGGGCCATGTATGGTAAAATCTTGGATGAGAACATTCTACTCTTAGTCAGAACACTGAAGATTGGTTCTGGATGGGTTTTCCAGCATGACAATGACTCAATACATACCGCCAAGGCAACAAAGGAGTGGCTCAAGAAGAACATCATTAAGGTCATGGAGTGGCCTAGCCAGACTCCAGACCTTAATCCTATAGAAAAGTTATGGAGGGAGCTGAAACTTCGAATTGCTAAGTGACAGCCAAGAAACCTTAAGGATTTAGAGAAGATCTGTAAAGAAGAGTGGACCAAAATTTATAACATTTGTATCATGTGTTTTTTCTGGATTTTTGGTTGATATTCTGTCTCTATCATTAAAATACACCTATGATAAAAATTACAGGACCTTCATTTCTTTGTATGTGAGCAAACTTACAAAATCTGCAGGGGATCAAATAATTATTTTCTCCACTGTAGCTGCATGCTTTACATCAAACTATAGCATACTATTTATGCATTTGTGTTTTAGAACACTCCTGACAACTGTCAAATATCATACATACATTAGCAAAAGAAAAAAGAAAAGACTCCAACACCAAAAGTAAACAAGTTCATTTTGTTTTATTTTTCAGTATCAAATTATACATTGTATGAATGTACCACAGACTGTGCTAATGTCACAAACTAGTAAAATGGGAGGGGAAAAAAGGCTTTCCTCAATATTGTTACTAAACTGTGCGTCACTAACAAATCACTTCAAGAGGAAACCAAATGTATTTTGGTATCCATCCCCTCCATTGGCTAAGGTTTGGTTTAAAAACACATTTTGGCATTTCCTGACAGTTTTGTATGTGAAGTCTGTACCCGATTTAAAAAAAAAAAACAATTTGCACCATTATTAAATACAACAAAATATAGCTTACTCTACAGTCCATAAGGACACTGACAGAAGGCAATTTATTGCGCTCTGGAGAATGTAAATATTACTGGCTCTGCTGCATAATATCTTAATGGTTGCCCAGCAGAAGAATAAAGAGACATTTCTTCTAAAGACAAGCTGTGAAAATGGTGTTCTTAGGATGCCGTTTCCATTCTAAAAGACAACTGTAAGCCCTGTTGATCCCTTAAAAAAAAAAAGGTCTAAAGAATCTGTGTCAGAACTGATACTCAAATCGCTTCTTCTCAACTTACAGTTCTATGAACATATATGTGAAAATATTTGAAGGCCTATTAACACCAATAATTGCCAAAGAATTTTTTTCCTGCTAAAGATTTTCTCTTCCACTAAAAGAATAATAGATAAATGTTGTAAGGAGGCTGTACCCGATATTACATTTAAGACTTAAGCAGCAATGCTGTCCAGACAGTGTGTGCATGATCAGATAATTACAATTCACCAACTGATAACCCAACTAATAGGCAAGTTAGGTCACCTTGAGTACACCTATTTAAAACAATGCCCTCCCCAAATACTGGACAAATTTATTGGAGAAGAGGTAGAGAGATAAGTGGGGAGGGTATATATTATATTTGTGAAGCGGACAGGAGAACAGAGCACAGTTCCTTTTATATGCCTGTGTAGAGGGGAGGAGAAAAAAGAAACTAGGGACCTGCAGATCTCTTCTCACAGGCTTCATCCCTTTCATAATTTGAAGTCCGGTTTCTCTGGAAAAGTGCAGCCAGCTCGTCTGATAACCACGTTAGCAGAATAGTGACCAGCATGCACACATTCTACTAAAGCCTTGTCAGACACCAACTGCGAAAGAAAACCTAAAGAAAAAAAAGACAACATGTTAAATACTTAACAGTTTATGTATCTGCCACCATTCTATAAGCTAAGCACAACAAACAAGGCCATATGAATCAGACTTCCACATCTTTGTAAATTTTCTAAACCATCAGATTCCACTCAATTGTGATAGCATTGGTTCCCACACCAACCTCATTCTACCTGTTACAATGAATGCAGAGATGGATTTCAAAAGTCAGAGAGTAATAGCTACAAAACCAATATACCATTCCACAAATTCATAGGTGGAGCCCCCCACAGGAGAAAAGATCTAATCTCTGTGCTAATCAAACACCTTACCAAGCAAGAACAGGCCTGGTTTATCTGACCTTCTAAAGATGTGTTACTGTAATTGGCTAAAAGAAAGACAGAAATCTGCCAAGCACTGCTCACTTGTAAAACAATGTAATTCAAGTTTTAATACAAAATGTAATGACATCCTCAATAAAGTACACATTTTCATCTTTTCAAAACATGTTAAAGTTGTATCCTGCTATACTGTGAAGACTTAAGCTGGCTATAGATGGAGCAATTTTCTTTCCTGCAACCATGGGTTTCAGAGAAGAAAATCATTTGATTCCCCCCATCAACACAGTTTTGATGGGGGGAATCCCTCCCACTGAGCCACTGTCTTCTGCCTGCAGGTGGCAGGGTGGTTCCAGGAAAACAGTAATTGCAGCTATAATAGCAGCCTCTAGCAATAAGCACATTTAAACCCCAATTGGCTGATTGTACCCTAGTTCTATGATCGGTCAACTTGGGTACATTGGGCCTGCCTATACATGGTTCGAATCTCGGCCGGCCCCTGCTGAACTGGCCGAGATTCGAACAATCTATGGCCGGCTTAACTGCTAATTTTATAACATTTAAATTAGGAGTATCAAGAAAGACAAATATGAATCAGTGTTCTGAATACTACCAGAGCAGCCCCTAAGGACCCTGCGGCCAAAATGGACTTCTCCTTTTCTAGCACGCATTAAAGTAACAGTGAGTGTACCACAAACACTAACAGCCTCTAAACCAAACTTCTTTGAAGCTTGTTCTGTCAGTGTTTCTCTTGCTATGGCAACTACTGTTCTCTTGTTCTGACATGAATGTTCAAACTAAATAAAGCTTTGATCAAAAGACTATTACCTCTGTCCCTTAACTCTTTTGTGACCAAAGTTCTTTAAAGCTTAAATGCCCAGACAAAGTTTGGCTGCATCAGTACGAGTCAGGTAATTTGAGAATCACTATAAGTAATTTGTCTGTGACATTGGGTCTGAGAACTAAGAGCACACATATGCACATTCCAAATTCTCTGCTGCATGGTTAATTAACATTCTCATGACAAATGGTATTTTACATTAAAAACGCAAAAGTCACAAAGGAGTAAAAAGGGAATCATAGTTTGGTGCAAATGTAATTTATTAGACTGATCATGTATTTCTGTTTTTACTGTGTATACAACCTTTGTTTTACAAACATTTGCTACATGACAAGATTCCCAGAGTACTATAGGCTTGCACAGTGCTGTACAGTGTGTGGTAATCACTGCTCTGGTTCACTAACTGTGTAGAAATTTCACCAAGCGTGCCCATGTTATCTAAACAAGCCTTTTACAATTGTAGGTAAGGAAAAACCTGAAACAAGTGAAAAGAGCTTAAAGACTAAGTTTACTGTTCAGGAAAGCTGGCTTCCTTAGGCGGTTTCAATGCAGGGCTACCCTGTCCTCTTCCTGCAGCTGAAATTTCGGAGCTATGGGGGTTAGTAGCTTTGGATCTTCAGGCTCAGCTGCACTAAAGATATTTCAACATGAATGGTTTGTCTTCCTACCCCCATCCTCCACTGAGAAAAGTTATTTCACTGATTACTCTACCTGTACAACAATCACAGGATTCTCTTCCCCTTTAGAATATGTTACAGGTATAATAATCGGTGAAAGAAACGTTCTCCATGTTTGAGAGGGCAGGACAGACTGCATCCCCTTGATCATCTTTAGTACAGCTGACCCTAGAGACCTTAAGATGTTATTCTCTCCAAGGGCAAAGTTCAGCAGCAGGAAGAGGACACAGCAGCTCTGCAGTGAATCTTTCTACAGAAAGCAGCAGCCTGCATATCAAGGAAAATACTTAATTACAGCTAAACGATGTAACTATAACTGTACAATAAAAATAATTTTTAGCTAAATGTCAGTTTTAAGAATTTAGGTCTGCTTTGAAGCAGGGGTCCTGATTTGCCTTATTTGCTTGGGGTGGTTTGTTACTACGACATCTTGATTTTAATCTAAAAATTGGTATGTAGACACCAACAGAAGATAATAAAATATGTATATTCATTTCTTGCATCACCATTATACATGTTTCTATATTATTAAAGAAAAAAAACAAACTTAATGACAGCATGTTTACCAGCTTGTTCAGTTCTCATGTAATCACATTTGCAAAGATTCAGCAAAGCTATCATTATAAAAGCACTACACCGCATAACATAAAAAAATTCATCTGAACCTTCAAACTAACCAGTGTGCTAAACTAACCAGTGTGCTACAGAATCACAAATGAGGTATTCTTCATTGCTTGCATTTGCTACCAAGTGCTAGAATTAAAATTTTCATGCGATTAAAACTGTAGTGATGCATGAAATTTAAAGTTACACATGAGGCTAGATACTACATTTCATGCACTTGTATCCACTGTAATTTAGCTCCCAGTAGTGAGGTTGCATGCTGGCAGGTGATTTGTCTGATGTGTTGGTCGGTAAGTAGTTTAGCAAGTTAATGGCAAGAGATTAGTGCAACAAAGGCACTGCATTCAAAATATTCTTGAAGGTTAGCAGCAGGAATCCCCAGAATGCCAAGGAATTTATATAAACCATGGCACTGGGATATGCAACTGAAAGTGTGTAAGCTGCTGTTGTTGATATATGGTTCAGTTTATGTTAACAGACACCAAGGACATAAGATCACACACTCCTGGAGCCCAACATGTGGCCCTCTGTCTGCCCTCCTGCTCAACTGAAAATAGAGGAGGAAGGAAGACTGTTTACCCTGCATTTGCTGGGGTTAAAATCAAGGCATATGGGCAGGAATAAAAGGAACTTTTACTTACCTACAAATTTCATATCTGAACAGGACACAGGTTGAATATTTATAGACTCTGGATTATAGACTGCTACCTTCAGGTGTTTGGACACTGGTAAAAACTTTTCTGGGCATGCCCTTTAGGCATACCTCTATAACCCCACTCTACCCTGCGAATCCTCTTTTTTTTAGCAAGCAATGCAGAACAGAATAGAGAGGACAGTGTCGTGTCCTGTACTGAACAGAAAATAAGGAATTTACAGGCAAATAAAAAATTAATATTGAATTCATCTCAGTACAGGATGGATATTCATAGACCCTGGTACAACCCCAAGCAATTCAACAAAGGGGTGAGCAAACAAGGCAAACAAAACAGAGCACACAGGCTCAACAAATCAAACAAGCAAGGGTCAAAGATCCAACTCTGAGTGCAGCTAATGAACCTTGCAGCTGAAGATGCTGCATCTACCTGGTAACACATGGAGAAAGTATGAACCAGAAACCAGGTGGTGGACTTACAAAGATGGGCAGAAGATGCTTGATGTTGGAAAAGCCAGAAAACCCCAACAGACTGTAAGCACCTTATCTTATATAGCATACATCCTTGCAATGGAGTTGAGCTATATACCTAGCAATACTGGACTTTAAAGCATCCATTACGAGAGAGACCATTTTTCAGGTATTGGCTGTGACTGTCAGATAGACCCTGACTGCTCTGTCTACGTCCAGACAATAGAGATCGATTATTTCGGTGTGCTTTTTTAGCAGGGCACAAAGAAAGAAAAAAAAGGTCCTTGAGGTTGAAGGCCGATATCACCTTAAGTAGAAAAGAAGAGTCTTGGGCGGAAGATCACTTTATCCTTGTGAAGAATCAGGAAGGGCTCTTTACAATAAGAGAACCGCTATGTCAGAAAGACATCTGACAGATGTGATAGCCACCAAGAATGCAACTTTACAGGAGAGTTTCCTAAGGAAGGCAGAACAACAATGAGATCAAAAAAAGCACTGAATAATGGGTGTTTGATTTCTGAGACACCTTTAATAAAGGTTCTAAAGAGGAAAGTGAAACCAAAGGTTTCTGAAATAGAATGGATAAGGCCATAATATGTCCCTCCAGAGTATTTAAGGCAAAATTCTAGTCAATAACAATCGTAAGAAAGTGAAGTACAGAGTAATCTCAAGTCGAAAAGACTGGGTCCACACCAGCCAAAAAAAAAGATTTCCAGGCAAGGTAGTAAAGTTTTCTTGAAGTGGATTTTTGGTCTCTGAGTAAGGTGGGAATGAAAGAGTCAAAGATACCTCTTTCCTTTAAAACCATGGTGTTAAAGCCAGTGACTAAGAAGCAGGATGAAACAGGAGGCCTTAAAACAGTAGGTCTGGCATGTTTTGTGGAGCAGTCTAGCAAGAAGATGCACTGGAGGAAAGGCAGACCCTGAAAAGAGTCCGGGGAATTACCAGGGCACCCAATCTCATTGATAGGGGATCCTTGGGTCTGGCCACAAACGGGGGTAACTTGTTGTTGAACCTGGAAGCTAGGATGTCCACATCTGGAGTCCCCCATTTCTGAAATCGGAGATAGAAGATGGTGGGATGAATGGACCATTCCCTCTGTCTAGCGAGTCTGCAGACTGTCTCTCATCTGAAGCAATAAGATTACTTTTAGCTGTTGTTCAGTATGCACTAGATCACTATTAGAAATGCTCTGTTGCTGCAAGGGTGGTTTCCAATGAACAGATCCAGACATCTTAAAGATAAAAAAAAATCCAGTTGTGTAAATGAGCACACGGTTATTCAGGATTTTAATGATGGAAAAACTTGTGCCTGCCAAACTAGAGACTTGATCTTTACATTATGTGAATGTTTTACACAAACATTTTTTTGAGGGTGTGGAATGTTATGTACCAAATATAGAGAATTTACCAAAAGCAAACTATTGTGCCTTGTGTCTTGACACGTGAAGGGCTACAATTGATGCCCCTTATGATTACCACATTGAAAATGACTGCCAAAAACAGGACCTACCTCCAACAAATGCATCCCCAGCTCCATTGGTGTCTACTATTTTACTCTGGTCAATCTCTAACACGGGGAATGCCACAACTTCATCCACTGGAAAAAGAAAGCTATAGATTACACAGCATGTCATAACATGTTAACAACTTTTAAGATCCATCATACAACCCCAATTCCAAAAAAAAAAAGTTGAGACATTGTACAAAATCTGCAAATCATTGCATTCTGTTTTAATGTAAACATCATAAACCCATATTTTATTGACAATAGAAAATATATCAAATGTTTAAACTGAGAAAATGTAACATTTTAAGAAAACAAACAAAAAAAAAAAAAAAACTGCAATTTTGTACTTGATGGCAGCAACACATATAAAAAAACATTGGGACAGGGCCAACCCCCACATACATAGGCATACATTAAAAAAATGCTTGCGTTGGGGAGCCTGTCAGTGTAAGATGTCTACTTGTACTTCACAAGAGCAGGCAGTTACACAATGACAGGAAAAATCATTGAAATACCTAGAACGCACACTATATCCTGTTAGTTCATTGAGAAATACAAGCCATCAGCCACAAAGGTTGGCAGCAGTTGCACAGAACTCTGTGAATGAATGATATGGCCAGGTGGCGGAGCCCTGCATGGCCGCATTTTTTTTTTCTAAATTGTGACTGCAGGTGCATGGAAGATCTCAGAACCGCTGTCACAGGAAAGGTGGATCGGGGCTGAGAGCTGCAGGAGCATGTTACATGTTCCACCCTAAAAATGGGTGTAACATGTAACATATTCCCTAAGGTGAACTTATCCTTCAATGTCAGCACTCTTTACTGGGTGGTAAGGTTGCTCAAGGCTGCCTGCCCATTTTCAGCACAGGCTTTGTCAACCCTTTCAAAGCACCTCTAAAATCCTGAAGGCTGTACAGGCACAGACATCTAGAATGGTGATGTAAAAAAAAAGAAAAACAAAAAACAAAAACAAGTGGTTAATCAAATATTTGTCCCTTTTTTAACTGTTTAACCTTCTTTGTCTGAGCCAAGACCGGTGTTTGTCGGAAGCATGTTTAAATTGACTGACCAACCATTTATTGACTAAGTATGCTGGAAGTCTGTTCCAAAACAACAGCTACTCTTTCAGTTTAAAAAAAAAAAAACTTCAAACGGTTATATTTAAACTGCTCCTGCTAGTTGAGATCTGGTTTCAAAGTTCTCAATTTTTGATTCATACTGTAAGTACAGTTCTGTTGAATCTTATTGACGTTTGTAAGGGTTCAATCATGTCCCTTCTTACCTCAAGATTGTACACAGTTCCAGCGATCTCTCCTGATGGTTTTATCCCTCATACCTTCATTTTATATATCTTTATTTTAGATAATAGCATTCCACCAAAAGAAGCAGGCCGAAGATGCCAAAAAAGATGTTGGGTATGCACCAGAGGGGAGAGTTGGAAGACACCAGTTTTCATTGTCCCCAGTGTGCCTCCCAACCAGGCTTATGCATCAGAGACTGCGTCTGACATTTTCATACATCACAAAAAAGTAACCATTTTTCTAACAGCCTGCCCTTTCCCCGTTTTCAATATCTGTGCTGATCATTTGCCTGCTGTCTCAACCAACCATGTCGCCACCCATTCCACCTTAACTGACTCTGGTCTGTTTATCAACTATGCCTCTACCTGCATTGTTTATTCACATTTCTGCATTCCACCTGAAATGACCCTGGCATGTTTATAAACTATGCTTCTGCCTGCTGTCTGGATTGTTTATCAACAACCACATTTCTTCCTTCTTCCTGCACTGACCTCAGCCTGTTAATCGACCATGTTTTTTGCCTGGCACTTGGATTGACCTTTTGCCCTGCTACTGTAATAATGGGATTCAAGAGAACACATGGGTCTCAAATATGTGAGGGGCTTCAGAGTAGATTTCCGAATAGAGAAAAACAGTTTTTGGTTTTCTCCAGGATTTTTAATTCCCGAAACAGGGTCTATTACTCTGGAGCCTTTGAAGAGATTAGGTGGGATGAAGCAGCTACCCCAGTGCCAAGGTCCTAAGCCTGATGTTCCTGCCTACTGCCTGGACCAATGCTTTGGCTGTGCTGACCATATTTCTGCCTACTGCCTGTACTGACCCAGGACCTTTTATGGGCCATGTTCCTGCCTGCTGCCTGGACAAATACTTTGGCTGTGTTAACCATATCCCTGCCTTCTGCCTGTACTGACCTAGGACTTTTTATGGACCATGTTTCTGCCTGTACTGACCGTAGCATATTTATGGAGCATATTCCTGCCTGCTACCTGGATGATTCCTTTGGCTGTTGCTGACCACATCTCTGCCTGCTTCCTGGACCAATGCTCTCTTCCAACTACAGGTAATCATTTGTTTACATTGTTTTATATACAGTGTGTGTTGTTTTTTGTGTAACACAGGTTGCAACGTTGGGTACATAATCTCTTCAGATACTGAAAAGGTCTTAAACATGTGTTATCCCCATAATCGGTAGTAGCAGAATGTATTTTTTGGGTGTCATTCTTGGTATGCTCATGCTGTTAGAAATATCTTATAGAATGACAACTTTGTGTTAAAAAAATACAATTTCATTTTCTTTGCACATTTGCCAAAAACATGGCAAAAAAATAAAATGTTCAAAAGACACATTATACTTTTTACAAAATACGACGTGGTGTCTGCTTTCCAAAAAAGTAGTCATTTTGTGGATGTTTCCACTGTCCTGGTGCTCCAGGGCCATCAAAAATGTGATAGGTAGTCAGGAAATTTGATGTCTAATTTATGATCCTAGAACACCTGAAGGTGCTACTTGGATGTTGGGCCTCAGACTTTTCCATAGCCCGGCCACATACAAACATGTGGTATTGCCATACACAGGTGTAGCAGAATGTATTTTGTGGTGTCATTTTTGGTATGTGCATGCTATGCATTGGAAAAATCTTATAAATAGACAACTTTGTATAAAAGAAAAAAAAAATCTAGGGCTATTTGTGTGAAAAAAAGGCCAATTTCATATATGGGTACAGTGTTGCATGACTGAGTAATTGTCATTCAAAGTGTGAGAGCACTGAAAGCTGAAAATTGGTCTGGGCAGGAAGTGGTGTATCAGTGCCCAGTAGGCAAGTGGTTCACGTTCCACTGTACTTTATAAAATAACAGATGGAACCAAGTGACAATAGCTTTTCACTTGCTTGTAATAGGCAAAAAGCAATCCCCAACACATACATCTTGCCTTTAATGCAGTGACAAAGCTTTGTGATATGATAAAATCATTACAGAAAAAATTGTAAACATTAAAAGAGAAGTTTGGTCAAAGCTTTTTGGCCATAGTTTTCTGGATCACAGGAGTGCACATATTTGTGCTTTTCTGTGACCCAGAATCAGCCGACAGCAAACTAAAGCCACAGACCAGGTCAAGGCTGTAGAAGTATTTCGACAATAATGTCAGGATCCACCCAGATGCCTGACCAGCAGCTGGCTCAGTCTCTCAACACACCGCTAAGAGCCTAAGCCAGCCACTCCCACCACCACCCCAGCCTGATGCTCCAGTGAGCGCTGAAGGGGCAGAGCAGAAAGCCTGTGACTGATAGTCACCACTCTTTGTTCAGCGAAGACCAAGAACTGAGCAATCTGCGGTCATGTGAGCGCTCAGTTCACATGTTTAGAGATGGCAGGGGGACAGCTGCAGCATTAGACCTATGCTGAAGCAAGAAGGTATGAATTTTTTTTTTTTTTTTTTACTATGCCCACGCTTCTCCTTTTGCAATTACTAAAAAATGTAGTTGATAAATAAGGACCTACATTCTAAAAGGTAGACAACATTTTTTTTCAAAATTCTCAATGCTTACAAAAAGCTACATTTCATAGGCAAATGACCAGATCTTTGTAGCAATAGCTGTTCATGAAACTATGTGGTAAACATAGCCTGGAACAGAGCAGAACATAAGCTACTGCTATACTCCTCCTTTAAAGCTTCCCACTTTAATGCTTGCAGACAGCGCTGTAGCCTAATTAGCAGCAAACTACAATGACAAAGAATATTTCAGAAGTGTAGACAATATTTAGCACTTCTAGCAGGATACACTGTTTAACTATGTTCCCTTAAGCCATACAGACTTCATGTTCCAGACATAACATATTTTGCAAAATTTATATACAAGTACAATACCCATATGTTACATATTTACTAATGTAATAGTGGACCCCTCTCTGGTTCTTATGTTCCGTGGCAACCAGTTGGGAATTTTTTAAAGCAGCTGGCCTGTCAGAACACAGTGAATTTCAGGGCAAAGCAAGATGGGGAGCTGAGAGGTGCCAGGACAGCCCCACTCGTTATGGGCACTGCTCTGTTCATTATCATGTCAATGGAGTCTGAGCCGACCAGACAAAGAAGGGTTATGAGAACCTCCCAGAGCATCCTGACTCAATCAAGCGACAATATTTCTTACAAGAGCATCTGTAACACAGACCTGATTATGTGGGGCCTGCTTAGGGTTGTTCTAAAGGGACGCGGATATGTGAGCAGGTCAACAAGTAAAAAGCAGTAAATAAGTGCTGCAAAGCCATAGGCTCACAGAATGAGGATACTTTTAGTCTCATTTTGATTTGCAGAAGATTCAATTATTGCCGAATTCCATTTGTTTCCAGGTTCTGGACAGGCATTTAAACAGCCCTTACAATTTTACTAAAAGCATATGAGATTGTAAATTATCAGAACCAATATGGCTCAATTAAGGATAAACCTACACTTGTGTGTTTAGCATCCACATGGAAACATTTATTGTTATGGAAATTTCCTTGTAATAAAATCTTTGCACACTAAGCACATACGTTTAAATGTAGCATTAGGATTTATTTGAAATGAGCCTCAGGTTCCAAAACAAAGAAACTATGATTTTTCCTAACAGAAGCAAATTTATTTGGAAGTAGCCAGCTGTGCCTCAGAGAACCCCCTAATCCAAATGGTACAGTAATCTCTGGTGATGGTTGTGTGCAAGAGATTCTAGTACAAGCAATGTTTATGATTTCTGCAAACGTGTCCTGGGTTAAGGTGGTCAAACTGGGCAGAACTGGAAGAATTAAAATTGTTCTA